CTGTACAACACAACTAATGAGGAAAGAATAATTGCAGAGAAAACACACAGGAAGAAGAGGCTGGAAAATCTTCTTGGACCTTTTTGTCAGTAGGTCAGGATTTCCCTCTCAGCAGAACAGTCTGTAAGACCTGTTCAGAAAGCCTTTTAATTCCAGGCTCTTTGCCTCTGGCATATAACTACATCAAAGTCATTCCAAAGTTACAAACAAATGTAAGTAGACCCGATGAAACAGTTTTACCCCAACCATTATTTTATTTTCCCACTCCAGGAAAAAAAAAATTCTTGCTCCTCAGAAGATGTTTTGGAATTATGTAAAAATATCCACCAAAAAAAAAAGTAAAATTATTTAATTATCCCAGATTATATAGTAAACAAGAAATGGAATCTGAATAATTATAATCTGTACAGTATACATTAGTTTTTGCATATTTATACGTTCTTATATTTTGACAAAAGTCTGATGATCTCATTTTACTTTTTTAATACTGAGGACTTCTGCCTTGCTATGGATGAAATGCCATTGATACACTCCCTCCCTAGATCCAGGAGACATTTCTAGCTTTCTGTCAAGTCCTTCATAATTTTTATCCATTAGCCATAAAAACACTCCTGCAAAATATAATTCATTAGTCTCTGCGTTGTTCCTGCTTCTCTTATTTTCCAGGTTTAAACCACCTTAACAATCTAGAAATAAATATTCAAAGAAAAATGTGGTAAATGTGTCAAATTTTGAAAAGTCACGTAGTAGCAAAAGCAGTCAAATGAAAAAAAACCTCCTAATCCTGAAACACACATATATTTTCAGATTTTGACAGATTGTGCTACTGAAATCAAAATTGTTCAGCATTTGCAGCTTGGGTAGTAAAGTAGTAAGTTTTCTTCTTTAGAAAGTACATCTTAAAAAAATTAATTATTTTTGAAAACAGGGACACTGAAAAGTATTATGGAATTCTATCCTGACACAGAATGTAAATCTTCCATGACCTTGTACAGAACTTCATCTCAGTCCCCAGCTGAACCTTGGGTCACTCCTGTGTGAGCTGTAAGTGTTCCATGTCTTTCAGGATTTTTGTATTCCTAAAATTTATTACCTCTTGTAGAAGAAGTAGCCACTAGTTAGTGTTCTCCTCTAGAGTTTGAAATACCCTTGTGCCGCCGTTCTAGAAACACCCACACAACATTCAAAGTAAATCTTTAGTGTAGCACGGAATCCTCTTCAAGGGATTTACATGAAAACAAACCTTGATTTCTTTTCATGAGAGTACACAATGTGTCACTAGAGATTCTGCTATGCAATGCTGCCCTTTAATAATTTATTGAAGTCTCTGAACTTTGGGTAAGGTGACAAATTTCATATGGAAGCACTGCTCAAGTGTTGAATAAACAGGAACTAAAGTATTTTTCTAAATAAACAAAACTGATGCAAAAGAGTGGTCCAGGGCAGATTAGATTTTTTCAGTAATTTTAGTGACAGCAACACTAATTTTTGTACTAGTCTACTTAGTAAATTAAACGTAAAATATACCCACATCTATCAAATTATTTCTTTCATACTACAACTCCTATTTAACCTGCATAATAGCATGAAACACTGGGCTAATGCAATGCCAAGTTTCAAACTGTTGGAACTTTTGACAAGTAAAATGCAAAAGCACATGGGGAAAAAAAAGACCACCTTATCTATTTTTTTACACCTTTTGTCATCTCACTGCTGATCTCTCTTTCCAGGGCTTTCAGAACATGAAGAAAAGCAATGTCTGGGTTTTTTCGATCACTCTTCAGATGATCTTTCCATTCAGTGATCATTGGCTTCTAACATCTATTTCTTATCTTTTAACTACTCATTGAAATAAATACACCTTACAGTATTGCTGCTTAGTTTCCTTAAAAAACCCTGATAAAGCTTTTTTTTTTGAAATCTAAGCAAAAAGATCACTTCTTTCTGTGTGTTTGTTAACACCTTTAGGAACTGCAATAGACGTGTTAGGTGGGATATCCCCTTATCAGGGCCATGTGAGCTTTTTCCAAGAACATAATACTCAGACATCCAGGAAAAAATGACTATTTATTATAGCTTCTATTACTTTGTTGACACTTACAGACCTCCCCTTCAGATTTGTACTAGAATTCCTTCCAAAAAGCAGGGTATTTGGTACTTTCCACTCCCCTGCAGCCAATGGGCTTTAAGCAGTTCAACACAACTTCTTATGCTGTGCTGTCTCATTCCCCTGTTCCTCCAAAGAAATTGGGAAAGTATCACCTATTCCTGTAAGTTTACAGGAAGTATCACCTATTCCTGCAAGTCCATCTTGTCTCTTTATGGGCTCTTTGACCTCCACCTTGACAAGAGACAGATGCAAAGAAAGGTTTGGGGATGGGAACCTCCTCATTGCCTTCCATGGTAAACACAAATGCAAAGAATTCCTGTACATATATATTTTTTTCTATGATCTTATATTTCCAAAGAGCTAATTTTATACTGGGATCAGACTCTCTTCTCTGGCATCTTCTTTTGATATGACTGAAGAAACATTTCTCATTTCTATTTGTAGAAACACAATTACACCACCCACACTACAGTTCTTCACTGGCTCACCTGTTGTAAAAAAATACGAGGGAGAAAAGCAGTTTAAGAAAAAAGACAACTATGTGGTAAGGTTCCCAAATATACACAGCAAAAAAAACCCCACAGAAAAACGTTTGGCACAATTTTATTTTTTTTCTGAATGCTTACATGCACTTCTGCCATCTACTCAATAAATGTGCTGCACAGATCTGCAGTCACAGCTTAGAGACAACTCCAAGAAAAAGTCACTTAAAGAGGCTCCTGAGAATATCCAGATCTTTCTTTGGAGAAAAACGAGTCAGTGTGTGTGGCTTTCATGCATAATTAGCTACTGAAGCAACAGGGAAATTTAGAATTTCGCTTGGAAGCAAAGGCAGAGGATGGAGAAGCAGCTCTTTTTCTCTTATGTCTTTATGCATCACACTTGAACCACAGAAATTATGTAGATGGATCCTTCGGAAAAATGACATTTTGGAGGTGAGAGCAGCGCTGCCAAGGAGTTTTACTGAAATGGATGCTTTTATACCTGAAATGAAAGTACCCACACAGGAAATATAACTGGCACTTTATCTATAATAATACAATAATGCTTCAAATTATTACTGCTACCTTGAAAACTTTCAGAACTTTTCCATTAGAGAGCTGGAGGCAGAATCAGAAGAATTTATCCCAAGTAAAACACAGGCATGAAATTTCTGGGGGGTGGAAATATCACCACCTCTTGGTGATCACCCACATACCCACTGTGCCTTGAAAAACAACACCAGGCCATTGATTTGCTTCTTCACCTCTTAATGCTAAAAATCGTCTCAGCTGGTGGAAACACCGTTCTAGAGCACAACACCAGAGATGTGCCTACGGAGAGGAAGAGAAACACATGCTCTTTAGAAATGTATATGTGAAGTCGATATTGCTAAAATATTAACAATAATCTCTTTGTGGGTTATAATAACGGAGGAATGATTTTTAAAGGCTGTAAGAATGAGAACAGTAGTGAAAACAGTAGAGAACTGGTTTGGTTTTGCGTGTTTTTTTTTCCTTCTTTTTTATGGTCTTAAGCTGCGACATGGGATGTTTAGGTTGGACATTTGGAAGAACTTCTCCACAGAAAGCAGAAAGGGTGATTAGATGTTGTGATGGGCTGCCCACGGAGGTGGCGGAGTCGCTGCCCCGGAGGTGTTTAAGGAAAGCCTGGACGTGGCACTGAGTGCCACGGTCTGGCTGACACGGTGGTGTTCGGTCAGAGGTTGGACTCGCTGATTTCAGAGCTCTTTTCCAACCTAAGCAACCCTGAGATTCCGTGATTTTGTGATTTTCTTTTTGTTTTGTTTTTTTTTTTTAATTTTAAGGTTCGACGGCTCCCCCCACCCCTCACACTGGCCCCGCCCCCTCAGCGTTGGCCCCGCCTATCGCGGCAACGCCTCGCTTCCCCGGCCCCGCCCCCGTCGCTAGGGGGCGTTCCCCGCCGTCGCGCGCCAGGGCGCGGAGTGGAGCTGATCTCTTACCTCGCCCCGCCGCGCGCCGGCGCCGCGCTCGGCGCTCGCTTGCTCAGGCCTGCGGGAGCGGCGCGAGGGCGATGCTCGGAACCGCCGCCGCCGCTGCCGCCGCCGCCTGAGGGTCCGGCCGGGTCCGAGCGGGTCCGTGGCGGTGTCGCGGCCATGGGGTTGGGCTCCAGCTCCGAGGGCCCCGGCGGCGGCGCCGAGGGCTTCCACGTGCACGGGGTAAGGCGGCCGCCGCCGGGCCCGCGGGACGGAGGGAGGGTGGGAGGGCCGCGAGGGGCTCTGGGCGCTGGGGCGTGTGCGGGGGCGTCCCGCTTGGCCGCCGGCCTGTGGGGGCTGAGGCTCCACGGCTCCCACCTGTCGGCCCCTTCCCGGGAGCTGCCACGCCGGCAGGGGCGGGGCGGCCGCGCCGCTCTCGGTGCCCGCGGGTGCCGCGACCCGCTGGGTCCTGGTGCGAGACAGCCCGGGGGAGCCTGCGGGGCTGCCCTGGGGGAACCTGGAGTAGTTTTAAGAGTAGTCTAGCCCTCTCTCTGTCCCTGCTCCCCTCTCTCTCTCTGCTCCTCTTTCTCCCCCGTTCCTCCTCCCCCTGTTCCCCTCTCCCCCGTTCCCCTCCTCTCTCTTCTCCCTTCTCCCTTCTCTCCTTTCTCCCCTCCTTCCCTGTTCCTTTTCCCTCTTTCTTGGTTCCCTTCCCCCTCTTCCTGCGCCTTTCTTTCTTCTTCTCCCTTCTCCTTTTCCCTCTCTCCCTGCTCCCTTCTGTGTGGATCTTCACATCTTGTCCGGAGATTAAATCCTGCTCCAGCCTCCCCCCGGCGCTGGATGTATTTGCGAGTTTGTTTTGACTCTTGTATATCCAGCACTGTCTGCACACACAGTGGTGTAAAGGCGTATCCCGGCGTTTCCAGGATAGGCAGAGGTGTTGCTGATAACAGCTGTTGAATGAGTTATCATTTCGATTGGTGGGTGCTCTCCCTCGCTGGAATCAGAGTGGAAGTGTTGTTGCCACGTGCTGCTTTACACATCAGCCCAGTTTATGTTTCTCGGTGTCACGAGGTGTGTTTGGGGTACTGGTGCTCTGTATCTGCGAGTGTCAGTCTCCTGAACTGAGCCTGCTCCGTCAGAAATGAGTGTTGGTCCTCCTTTCATGCTGAGCGCAGGACACTGCTCAGGTTTCTGTACCGGAGGATGATTTTGGTGACCAGCAGTCTGCAGAAGACAAAGTAATTTCTCTTTTCTCCAGGGAATTCATGCAGCTCTTGATACTGGGTCATTTTGAAAACCAAGTGCAGCAGGATTTTTTTTTGCAGCTCACAGCTCCCTGTGGGAACCTGTGTGGCTCTTAGACACCCGAACACCAACGTCCTGAGCTCTGTAGTAACTTTCACGTGCTTCTTGTGTACATTTTCATCCTGGACATTATGTAACGTGATGGTTTCATTCTAAGGCTTCTTGAACATTGTTTAGAATTTGTATGTAAACATTTTTAACCTTTGGTTCAGTATAAAGCTGTCTGTTTGCAGTTTAGGGTTGTGATGAAAGTTAATACTTCCTACTCCAATTGTGGTTACAGTGCTCAGTCTTGACTGTTTAATAATAAAGCATGATTTTTATTCTTAGTTTTGCTTTAAAAGCTTTTGCTGAAGTAACCATGCTATTATTTTATAACTATAAAATAATAACTGTATATTTACATTAATATATGTAAATATAAATATATATAAAATATAAAACTATTTTATTGGTGTATTTTATAACTTACAGACAGTTCTGCCAGCAAAAGCCCCAGTACCAATACACTTTAACTATTAAAAAAACCCCAATACAGCAGCTTAGTGCTGTATATATTGTACAGACCAAATATAAAATATGGTAGTTAAACTTTCCTAGCAATGAGCTTCTCAGTTTAGATGATGCCTGGGTTGTAACTTGGTGCTTAAACTTTGAGGTGCGCTTCAGGAGTCAAATATATGAGGTCAAGGGCTGCTGAGATAACAAAAAGTAAAGTTAAAATCAGTGCAAACTTGTCAGCACGTTTGCAGTGGTTCCTTAACATCCTGTTGCTTTCATAGTGTACCTTGGAAGTGGGTGGCCTCTCACAGAATTTGCACACTGTGTAACTCGTGGTGGGGTTTATCTTGGTGTGAATGCATTTCAATAAGTGTTCTCTCTATTTGTTGCACCTGTCCTGTGACAACTTGGTTATAATGAAATCAAGATGCTGCAGCTCTTATTTCTTAGGAATCCTTTGTGAGTGGTGGCAGTTTCCTTGACCAGTACCTGTGGTGAGGCAGCGTTTGTAGTGTGCTCATCTAAGTGTTCCCGTTCCAGTGGGCTGGAAACTGTGGGAACCCAAGTGTAAATTGTGTTTATGGAAAAACAGCTCTGCTGTAAGTGGGGATCTCGATGTTCTCAGGCTGTTAGAAGCATGGAAGAGATCCTGAAGCAGCAGTTTGAGAACTAAACCTTTCTCCAAAGTATTCAGTATTTAAATTCCAGGCTGTGAACACTGAATCACAATATTTGTGTTTTCTATGGGGTTAAAAACCTGCTTTTTACAGCCATATTTGAACACCTGTTGCTCATAGTTTTATAAAACTTAGTTCACAGTTGTGGATTGCTTCCTGAAATCTGTCATTTGGTATCTTATCTCTGGTTCAGCTCAAAAGTAAATATGGAATTGTGTAAACATTAAGACTTTTACTTATGTAACTAGAGATCAGTGTTTAATAATAATAAAATGTATGTTTTTCAGGTCCAAGAAAACTCCCCAGCTCAACAAGGAGGACTGGAACCTTTCTTTGATTTCATCATTGCCATTGGACACACGAGGCTTGTAAGTCTCAAAGGATTTTAATGTTGGTTTTTTTTTTCTTCCCTGCATGAACTATGGGTGTTGTGTTGATTAAAAAATAGAAGCCAAAACTGTCACAGTAAAGAAAGCTTTTCACATTGTATGTGGCATTAAAAATAAAGTAAAATTTGCTGGTGTTCAGAGTCTCTTCTCTGGCTGGATCCAAATTCGAGGAAAGGGTCTTATTTATGCCTTTGCTCACCTTAACTTCTTAACAGGTTGACGCAATGTTTATGTTATTACTCATTCCTACGTATTTTTTGCCACAAGGTGAATATTGAACTGGTGAGTCAGTAGTAAGAGCTCAACATTTGTTTAAACAAACTTGTTTCAACATTTGATAAAACCTGAAAAAGAATCGTAGCCTGTCTGCTTAGACTTTTGGGACCAAGAACACAATAGGTTGAGTTGTGAGAGAAGAGTTGAGTTCTGGTTTGGTGGTTTTTTGGGGGGTTTGGTTGGGTTTCTTTTGTTTGTTTATTTAACAGGCTCAGAGCTTCACCTGTATGCTTCACCCTAACCCCATACAAGCTGAATTCATTAAGTTTGTCTTGCTTTTATGAGCAGAGATGTCTTTTTGGAAGTGCTTGTTGTAATGGTGATTGTGGTGGAAGATCATTTAATCTTTTTAACGTGACAGACACGATGATGGTTCTGTCAACTGGTCCCAAATAGTCTGTCCTTTCACAGTCAGTTTGCAGTGACTTTGAAGGGCTCAGAGACATGAAGTGAAATGTTGCTGCTCGTTGTTAGACTACAGAGTTGACATCTCATGTTTCTGGTATTACTTAATAGCAGTTGTGAAGCATTTCATGCAAGTGATGAAATGGAGTAACAGCAATTACTTATGTAAAGGGACATGTGCTGACAGTACTGACTGCTTTCTAATAAAAGAAAATTGAACTGCTGGGGCTGTTTGTGAACCACAGAGCCTAAACTTTGATGGGTTTGGTTCTTTGTATTCAAATTCTGCCTGAGATGTGGCATATGTTACAGGTGCAGCTGGGAATAATGTTAATCTAATCCTGTATCTCTTTCTGTGCTCTACAGAATAAGGAAAACAATATGTTGAAAGACCTGCTGAAGGCAAATGCTGAGAAAGCAGTGAAGCTGGAGGTGTATAATATCAAAACAATGAAAATAAGAGAGGTGGAGGTGGTCCCCAGTAACATGTGGGGAGGACAAGGCCTTCTTGGAGCCAGCGTGAGGTTCTGCAGCTTCCAGGGAGCCAACGAACACGTTTGGCATGTTTTGGTGAGAGAGAATTCTTTGGTGGCTTGTCAGTGTTCATACAACCTTGCTTTACAGTGTAATATTTAGAAGTAACTTTTATGCAAAGTACAGTGCTGAAATCTCACAGAGGAAGGAAGCAAAGTCTTGAAGGTTTGAGCTATTTCAGTAGGGACAAGGAGTAGGTGGCTGTCGGTGTTGCCTGTCGCTGTGACAGAAATAACTCCATCCCAACCAGACCCAATAGTGTAGATGGGAAGGTTTTTTTTTGTTGAAGAATCAATGTCAAAAGCAAAAACATTCTGGCCTGATTGGTGTCTCTGTGTTGGCTAAACTCCATTAAATTAATATTACAAAAAGCACCACAAATTTATTTTAAAATTAGAGGTAGAACTGAAAAGGAAAAACTGTTTTTTATGTTTCCAGTTGTTTAAATAAATGCAACTTTTCCACATCTTTGGAGTATCTTATTTTAAATTGGTAGCATCTTGGTCTTTATTATTCAGCATGTTTTACAAGATGTCACATCACACCTAGATGTAGACTATTCAAGGACTTCTGTTTTATCCCATAAACAAAATGTTCTCTCCTTCTGCTGTTTTTGGCATTAGCTTTCCCTTTGATCTCGGGGTGGTTTATCCTGCTGCCCGTGCAGATGACAACTGTCATTCTTTCACAGGACGTTGAACCTGCATCTCCTGCAGCTCTGGCTGGTCTACAGCCCTACACTGACTACGTTGTTGGATCTGATCAGATTCTCCAGGAGGTAGGGTGCATTCCAGTAGGGACTGATTGTCTTTGCCAAGTGTATGTTGTAGGATTTGTTTTTTCATAAATCTAATTCTGTGTACATCAAGCGTATGGGGATGGTGTTTGGGGATTTGGGGAGGTTGGTATTTATGGCAGATGCTTTATTGTTGAGGTGAACATTATCTGTCTTTTTAATGTGACAATAACAAGAAGTTGCCATTAAAGATCAAACTACACCAGTGAGTTTTCTGGCTCTGGGTTTTTAACGTCTCATGTTGACTACATAAAATGCTGACTTGCTTCCAGCTCCTTGTCTTGCACATGTGAGTTTATTAACTTCGTCTTTCTTTTTTTTTTCTCAGTCAGAGGATTTCTTTTCCCTGATTGAATCCCATGAGGGGAAGCCGCTGAAGCTGATGGTTTATAACACTGAAGCAGATTCCATTCGAGAGGTAGTTGTGACTCCCAATGGAGCTTGGGGTGGAGAAGGAAGGTACTGATCTCTGGACAGTCACTTGAAGACAGGTTATATACTTGCTGTAAATGAGATCCTGTTAAGAGTATTATTACTGTCAATTGCAGCTTGTTGTTTTCAAGTTAAGCCTTGTTTCCTTACACTTATCACACAAAACTGTTAATCTCTTCATAAAAAAAAAAAAAGCTTAGAACTAGGAATTGGGCTCATCCTGGATCTAATCCTTTTGAGTTGAATCAAATGGCAAAAACCCTGTGTTGAGTTCTCCATTAGCAGATTCACTGTCTTCATTCTCATAGTCAAACACTGAGCTAAAGCAAGAGCAAAACCCACATCAGGTCAGATGATACATTCTGTAAAGATATAAACCCAATCAACTGAAAGCTAAGCTGTGTATTTTTAAAAGTCAACTGCACAGCATTCCCTGAGTACTGTAAGTGAAACGACTCTTGCAGGTAGGTATTTCCTGCTATAGATGAAAGACACAAACTCTTCTTGTTGTGAAGAGTCAAAATTTAAAACACTAGTTTTGTTAAGAACACTTGTTTTAAGTCTTGATTTACTTGCCTCGTACAGCTTAGGATGTGGTATTGGATATGGCTATTTGCACAGAATTCCAACACAATCCATAACATCAAAGAAAAAACCAGAAAGCAAACCACCTTCACCCTCACCAGAAGCTGGAACTTCTGTACCATCCACTAATGGTTACACAGAGGTAGGTAAGAAATAAATGCCAATCTCTGGGATGTTCTCTGGAGTTTGAAAATGTTCTACTTTTTTTGAACATTGGTAACACCGTGTATTGGAGTACAGTGTTTAATTTTGGTTGAGTGAAATGGAGTTGGGTGAAGGGAAAGTGAGAGCTGAGGGTGCTGAGCAGGTGTGAGATCACCAGTGTTGGCTGATACAAGTTTTTGCCAGGTATTTTCCTCCTATTTTCAAGACTTGCATGCTCTATACTACAGTTGTACCAGTCAATGAGAATGACATTAGAAGAACACTTACCTCACTAGGAAAAAAAACACCTACAAGAACTGAGCATGGACTGTTCTTCTAAGAACATACTGGCTTTAAAAGCTGAACTGGAACACTTTGATGTCCTAATTGGTGTTTGGCTTTCAATTTCAGCATCACAGATTCTCTCTGAATTGGTGTATCTGGAAACAGGCAGGATGCTTTCATAGGGAGGTTGGCTTCAGGTGAAGCTTTCAATGTAAAAAGATGTTTTTCCTTCTTACTGTCTTATTCCAGACTCCATTGTTGGCACCTACCTCTCAGAGTGACAGCTCTGAAACAGTCATGAACTTGGATCATTCCAGAGATCAAGAAATGAGTGGTTATTCACCAGAAAGCTCACTTTCTCCTCCTCCCCCTCTCCAGAGAGTTATGGATCCAGGTATATTTTCTTAGGTGGTTTTCAGCAATTCTTTAGAGGACATCTAAATAAATGAATATACAAGCTTGAGACTTAAATGTAGAACTGTGAGCATTGGCGGTTGTTTTCCTTGAAATTTTTGACTTCCCTGAATTTCAGAGCTATAGAATTGAGGTACCACATAAGTGAAATTTATTTGCATTTAGCAGGGAGGGGACTTCACTGACTTTAGTCTGGATATAACTTGTCTTTTTTAATCTAGAATTTTGTGTTGTATCTAAAAAAGTGATGTAATATTCGCTTTCTCCTTCAGGATTTCTAGATATGTCTGGTATTTCATTTTCTGAGCTCACTAGCTTAACAGAAGTGTCCAGCATGTCCCCATCTGCCTCCTTCAACACACCAGCAGCAGGTGCTTCCACAGCCCCTGAAAAATTAATGTCAAATGATGAAGCCTCTACGTATTTTGGTAAGTGCATTCAAGACTTCCTTTATTTCTGGAATTGCACCAACCCATACCTGCTCAACATTGTCACACTTTCTGGAAATAAGCGAATTTTAATAAAAATCAGAAAGGACAGGCAAAAATCAGATGGAAAAAGTAGCAGAAATGGACAAAAACTAATGGGCTTTTTTATAAGATTATAGAAAGTGTGTCTTTTTCTTTAAAAGAAAATATTGATTAAACTGACTTTAAAAGTAGGTATTTCTAAAAGCAGTGTAAATGACTTTTTGTACCACAGTTGTAAAGCAAAACTGAAGTTTTTTAGTTAGTCATCTTAATACTGTCTTTTTGTGGTGGTTGACCCTGGCTGGACACCTGGTGCCCACTAAGTCGCTCTGTCACTCTCCGTCCTCAGCTGGGCAGGGGAGAAACAATCCAGTGAAAGCCTCATGGGTCGAGATAAAGGCAGGGAGAGATCCCTCTCCAGGTGCTGTCATGGGCAAAACAGACTCAACTTGGGGAAATAAGTTTAATTTCTTACCAAACAAATCAGAGGAGGATAGCGAGAAATAAACTGAAATCTTAAAAACACTTCCCCTCTCCCCCCCCTTTCTTCCTGGGCTCAAGTTTACTCACAAATTTTCCATCTCCTCCTGCCAGAGGCACAGGGGGACTGGGAATGGGGGCTGCAGTCAGTTCATCACAGGTCTCTGCTGCTCCTTCCTCCCCAGTGGGGGAGCTCCTCACACTGGCCTTGCTCCAGCATGGGGTCCTTCCCACAGAGATCCAGCTCTTCAATGTGGGTCCTTCCCACGGGCTCTAGTTCTTCAGGAGCTGTTCCAGCATGGGTCCTTTCCATGGGGTGCAGTCCTTCAGGAACAGACTGCTCCAGCCTGGGTCCCCTGTGAGGGGTCCTGCCAGGACCCTGCTCCAGCACAGGTTTCCCCCAGGGTCACAGCCTCCTTTGGGCATCCCCCTGCTCCAGCATGGGCTCCTCCACGGGCTGCAGTGGATCTCTGCTGCTCCCCCACAGCCTTCCATGGGCTGCACCAGGGGCTGCAGGGGAATCTCTGCTCTGATGCCTGGGGTACCTCCTGCCCCTCCTGCACTGACCCAGGAGTCTGCAGAGTTGTTTCTCTTGCATATCCTCATTCCTCTCTCTGGCTGCTGTTTTGCAGTGGGAATTTTCCCCCTTCTTACATACATTATCCCAGAGGTGCTGCCACTGACACCGATGGGCTCAGCCTTGGAGCTTGCTGGCATTGGCTCCCTTGGACATGGGGGAACCTTCTGGCAGCTTCTCACAGAAGCCACCCCTGTAGCCTCTTACTACCAAAACCTGGCTGTGCAAACCCAACACACTTTTCTGTTTAAAAAAAATAAATATATTCAGAGGATGCCTGCCTTTCCCTTCCAAAAGGTAGGGTGACTGTAAGAGTTGCAACGCAAAATAACAGTAACAGTAAGAACACAACAGACCCAAAGGTTCATGGTCTTTTAAAAACCTGTGTGCACCATCAGATTTTCTGGATTTGGGGAGAACTGAGTAAATGCAGCCCATGTACTTGACAGTTGTGAATCTGTTCATGTGCCTGTACAAGGTGTCTCATTCAGGCTGATTTTTCTAGGGTAACCAGGGGTGCTGCTTGTTACCTTGCCAGTTTTTATTTTCTTACAAACCATTTCCGTTTCCCAGAACATGCCACAGCTTTGGCCCCTGAAGATATAACCCTGTATTCTGAAGGCTCAGTCAAGCAGCCAGAGCTGGATGACCTACTACGTTCAATTCCACCTTTACCTTCTTTTCCTCTTCCTCATGAAATTTCTTCAAAAACAACTCTAGGAACTGATCCTGATAACCAAGAATCAAAGCTGCTCGTGAACAGCACGGAGAGCTCATTAACCACTGCTCCAGAGAAACCAGAGGAAGAGGCAGCAAGTGAACAGAAAGAAGAAGCAGCTGCACAAGATCCCGAGTGAAATGGACCCTGCTCGTGTTTACAGACTGTCAAATGCTGCAGCTTGGAATATTTTTCTGATCTTGAAAGAATTACAGTTACTCTATTTTGTTAGTGTAGACAATACTAGAAAAGAAATCACATGAAGTACATATCTTGTTGTATTTTCCAATCACTGTTTAATGGACTGATCTGTGTTCAAACTTTGAATGCTGTCCAAAAATCACCAAATTAATGGAGAAATTAATGCAGAAACAAGTTGGACACTGGCAAAATGTCAAGTTCCAGAATTCACGTTTGCCTACAAGTGCTCCTGAATGTATTTATGAAGGCACTGTGCCTGAACAGTGACACTTAGTGATGATTTTATCAGTATGATTGATGGCATTAAAAAAATATTTATAGTTTTGTTAGAAAGCTTTTCTAATGGTACTCCTTGGGTAGACAGTTCTTGTGCCTTGCAAGGCATTTCTCACCCCAGGATACTTTTATTCCTACTTAATACTCCTCAGACTGTTATTTTTCTTGCTTTAAGTCCCTTCTCTGTAAGTTACCTTTGCTACAACTACTTCCACAGTAAAGGAAGTGCCATGTGGTTTGAAGTTGCAGCAGAGATGGGACAGAGTCGTGGTGGGTCCTGTCATTCACTTCTGCTCTTCTGTGGACCAGGTGGTGGCCTCACACTTAAATAAAAAATGAAGCAGGGGAGGGAATGATGATGGTTATTTGAAACAAATGGAAGTGAAAATGATGTTTAAGTTGGGGTGATGAACCTTTTCAGTGGAGCTGAATGTCTTGGCTTCTGTAATGACTGAGAAATAGCTTTTCTTTAGTTGTGCTTTTCTATTTACTCATTTCTATTTTTATACAGATCGTTGTAAGTTTAAGACATGGGGCTGTTGTGCAGCAACATCAACTGCTTTTTGTAGCTTTTTTGTTTGCACTTGTCTTCAAATAGATTCTGAATGTAGCAGCAAACATGACATGAACAATGAAAGGTGTGTGGTCCTATAACCCTCAGGGCAGTGATTTATCATGGAATGTCAAAGGGATAGGGAATAACACAGTTACTGTGGTGAAACTCCTTCCTGAATTAAGAGATGTGTTGAAGCTAAACACCGAAGTACATTTATTTAGTACAATATTGCCTGATTTCCTTTTCCCTGCCCTGTCTCCTGCTCTGTTTCTGCACTGTGCAGATCAGTACGTGACAACTGCCAGGGCTGAAATCTGTTACTGAGGCAGGAGGGGGGGACTGAGAGTCCCACAGACTGGGTGAAGCTGAGCTGTCACAGGCCAAAGGGTGAAGTCACAGCACAAGAGGTCTTCAGCTGAGTCCACCCTGGCATAAAATCTGTCCTTGGTACTCCTTCATCTCTGTTGTTAGTTTGAAATACTGCAAGTACAGTAGTTCTGAACAGGACTGTCAAAATACCTGTTGCTTTAAAGAATGTATTGAGCCCCAACTGCAGGCAGTAGAATAGAGATTTGGACTCTAGTCAGCTAAATGGTCTGTTAATTGCAAACTGGTTTTATTTCCTGTATTGCTAAAATAAATTTCCTCTTTTCTTTCCCCACCTGACTGTTACAAGGGTGAACAGCCAAACACTAAAAATAAATGTAATTTAAACTATTGCTAAGTTTGTTTGGTCTTGGAGCCTGATGACTGAAGACATCTAGGTGATCTATTTATTGATGTTGTTTCTTTAGGACTTGTTTCTAGTCTTCCACCTTTCTCAAAATTGGTTTTAAGCTGGTAGTAGCTCATTTAAATGATGCTGTACCATTAACACCATTCAGAAATTTAAGAGCCGAGAATGTCAAAACTTGTTCTAGATTTCAAATGTCACCATAATAAAATGGCTTAAACTTATGTCAGTCAGTCTGTGTGTTAACTGGTTCTTGGAAGGGGTTTGGAAAACCAAATCCTTAGGGTTAAGCCTCAGGCAGAGGGATGTTGGGTTCTCCTAACCTGAAACTTGATTCAAATGCTAAATGAGATGAAGAGTTCAACCTCCTCATCAAATTCCTTTTCTCTTGATATTTTGGATGCTACCTCACTGCTGAAGCCAAGGTAAGTGGGCAGTACTCTTACTTGTGGGTACAGAAGCGAGCAAGATGGTTAGAATTTCTTAGTTTCAAAATAAAACCTGAAAAGAGTTGGAGAAACACCTGAGAGTGGCAGGATGCAGAGCCAAAAACAAACAGCCAATCAACCCTGTGCTGTCCCAAACATCTGTTTCCAGGCAAGGAGGAGCTGGATATGACCTTTCCCCCACTCTGTAATTTGAGGGCATCTCTAAACACGACAGCAGCAGTTCTTCTGCAGACACAAGAAGGACTCTCTTGGCAGCATCACAAGGAGGGCAAAACAAAGGGAGGAGGATCTCACCTTGGAGCACTCAGGGGTTTGTATGGCCAGACACAACAGGATCAGCTTCCAGACCTGAGCTGCTCCCTCATATTAATAGCTGAGCCTGAGGACACAAGTCTGGCAGATGTTTAATCCAAAGAGGCTCCCAGGAGCTCAAGTATTGTAGCAGGGATTAGGCAAAGCCCATCTCCACTGAGCCGTGGCCCTGCCTACCCCAAGGAGCCAGGACACCTGGGATTGACAGGGGCTGATCCTGGATGGGCCCTCCAAGGCTGTGGGACCTCCACCCATCTGGATACTACAACTCTGCTCAACAAAGGCCAGAGAAACTTGGTCAAGTCCTGCTCCAAGCAAGGATAACTTGAGCAGGCTGGACCGATCCCTCCCTTCCCAAGCAATTACGTGATTGATGGGAACTTTGGACACCATAACCCTGTACTGGGAATGATCACAGCCCCCAAAAATCACGACAGGGAAATAACCATCCCAGAGATAAACACACAAATCCCATTGTTAACAGCAATATGGATGCTGAACTAATTCTGGCTGAACTTGAATGGGTGAATGGATGTATTTACTGTCTGTAAGTTGAACAGCTACTGTAAAGAACTGTTGAAACACCAAATTCAGGCAGTGATGACTGTTTTCCCTCTTAAGCTTTCACAGCAGGCTTGATAATCTAATGAACCTCCTGCTGTACTGCTCTAGGCTCTGTGCAGAGGCTGCTCATCCAAGTTGCCACACTTGGCATCTCAGAATTTCTCTGAGCTGTAACTCAGAAATGCTGCAGGAAAACAGATCTCTGCAATGCTAAGCAGAGATCACTCGTGTAACCAGTGCGCTCATACATTTCCAGATGTATTCTCCATCTTCCCCCAAAGCTGGGCAAATATTTTCACCTCCAAGCAGGTCCTTATTTTCATAAGAACAGGCACCACTGCCTCTGGCTGTTAAGTGAAAGGAGCTACAGGTTACTCACTGCACTGATTTGACTGGGTTAATCGGTTCCATTTCCTGGGCACTGCCACTAATGCTGACACATCATCCCTGCTGACTTTTGCCTTAAGCAAACACTAACTTGGCAGTGGTCCTGCTCTAACAGAATTTCAAAGCAATTGTGTAAGTTACATTTCTAAGCTATAAAAAGTAATCAAGCACTCACAGTCCCCCAAAAAGGACAGCTAGAACAGTGTCACAGTATCCTCAGAGAGAGATCAGGCACGTCCCACCCAGTCTCTAATCAGTACCTCTGCTCTGCATGATGTCTGCACAGCTTCTTACAGAAAAACCCCCACCACAGCACAGGAAACTTTCAGTCAACCCATATTCTTGACTTTTAAGTGTGCATGTGCTCCCAACAGCTCCGTTATCCAGCTTGAGGTGACTTCATCCAGCTCTGTTTGGGAGCAACCAGCACATCTACAGTGTAAGATCATGTGCCTGAAGACTGATGCTAAATATCAAGGTCAATAATTTTCTGGGGATAAAGTTTGAATCAAACAGGACCTCTGCAAAAGGAAAAACAATACTTTGGTGTAATGCACTGGTCTCTGTGACAGTCACTGTCTGCCTTCAGCTCTGGCAAATGCATTCTCTCCCCTTCCTTGGCACCTCCACACTAAGTCACCTCAGAGTGACTTCACAACCTCTCTGCCTCGGGCTTAATTTGAGTATATTTTAAATCTTTCTAAAAATTAATTCTAAATCCTTCAAGTAGTTCTCTTCCTAAAATGATACTTGCACTTCAGCTGCCAAGTACTGAGCTGAGCTCTTCTCTTCTCAGCACCTCCTCACCTGAAGAAAATAAAAAATTGCCTGTCATAGACAAATAAAATGCTCTTCTAGGAGACAGGTTACACTACTAAGTACTAGATTTGCGACTCCTTCCCATCATGAACTTGGAAATTAAAATAACTTCTACAAATCAGTGGCCTTTACTATGATTCTGGCAAACTGGAGCTCTCTCTGTTCACAATGTCCCCAGGAGCTGTGACTCTCATATTAACTCAAAACTCTCCTGCTCTTGCCTTCAGGATTCTTACAGACAGCACAAGTCCAGAAAAGATGACAGAAATTAAAAGGGAGTAGCAAAACAACCCCTCCTCTCACTTTATACTCCATCTAAGTCAGATGCTGGGAGTCTCTGGGAGGACATTTGGTCACTGAATTACTGCATTTTCCGCCAGAGCTGACAGTCCCCATGGTAAAAGCTTTGAGTATCCTGTCCTGGCTTTTTCAGCATCAGGAAACCCAGCCTTGGTTCCCCATGTGCCTCTTACAAGGATACAACCTTTCGACATCCAGACAACTCAGCACCAGCTGGCACCAGTCACTTGTTAGCACAAACTACTTTCATGGTACAAAAGCAGCACTGCCCAGGTGAGCAGCATGAGTTGAGCACATTTTGCACCTCAAAAGGAGCTCAGAGCTCACACCTGAGGGTCTGCACACCTCCTAAATTCTTACATTCCACCATATTATATGATCATCTTCATGTGATTCTGCTAAGGCACTGCCATTTCTTCAGCCGTTCCGTTATTTGAGGCTTCAAACGACTCTGAAGCCCTTTGTAACATTCAATAGCAAAGATCAAAGGTCCAAAATTGCATCATTAATCTGGTACACAAAACGACTTGAAAACATTTTAACTAAAGCCTTTTATTTTATACAACTGTGAAACATCGTTTACCCTTCTGGCATTGCAGACTCTTCTGTCAATCTTTCCTGTTACTGTGTTTCAGGATGGTTAGAAAGGAAAAAAAAAAAAAAAAGAAGAAAAAATTACAATCTTGGCTGGTTTAAAAGAAAATTTCTGGGACCAACTCCAATGTATACAATAGGACAGGAAGACAATGAGGAAACAAACCCAAACTTAAACAGTGCCTATTGGAATAAGCATAGACCCTTGCTATTAATAAATACAAGTCAGGACAATTTATCAATAGAAGTTACAGTTCTGTTTAACCATTTAATTCACAAGTAGCGCTAAAAATGTGCAGTTACAGCACAATTTTGTCAAACTAAGCACACACAGAA